TCAGAGTTTGTGAGTTCCAGTCCCGCATCTGGCTCTGTGCTGACAGCTGGGAGCCTGGGGCCTGCTTGGGATTCTGTGTCTCTCTCTCTCTGCTCCTCCCCCGCTCACTCTCTGTCTCTCTCTCCTTCAAAAATAAATAAACATTAATTTTTTTTTAAAAAACATCGGTCAAATACAGAATAGGAGAAGGAAGCATGAGGGGGATGGGAGAAAGGGAAGGTCGTAGATTTTTTTTTTAGCTGTGTGCAATTTTGGTAACATCATGAATCAATGAGTTCCTCCCTTGAATGAACAATCCGTACAAATTCTGCCACACTGTAAGGACGAAAGTAGGGCACTGAGGTGGAGCCCGGAAGAGAGAGGCACTGTTTACCAGCTGGTGAGGCACATCTTTCCCCAACCTCTGGTCTTTGGCCATCCATTACAAATATGTAATCTTACATCTTTGCACAGAATTTTTATCTGCTCTCACTACCCCATGTTACAGATAAAGAAACGGGGCACAAGAAACTATTATTTTGCAAATCCACACAGGGAGATAATAATAGTTAAATTCATTTATCGAGTGGTTAAATTTGCCAAAATGTTGCTCAGTACTTTACATATGCATTATCTCACTTAACATCACCAAAACCTTATAAAAGATGTATGTTTTGATTCCTTTTTTAGAAGATGCGACTTATTCAAAGGCCTCTCCTCATTCACAAATAACCCAGATGGAACTCCCAAACTCTCATTCAGGGACCAACCACAAAGCCCAGTCGGTGCTTCTGGCACTGAACCCTGCATGGTTTTCTAATTATCACCGTTTTAATATTTCAAAAAGTTAAAAGCCCAGAATATAAGTAACTGGTGTGTTATCAAATGCTAGAAAAATGTTCAGAACGTATTTTACAAACCAGCAATATGAAAGAACATAGTAAGAGTATAAAATAAATGATACTTTCTTTTTTGGTATCAAGAGGACACTTCAAAAACAGTTAACTGATTCTCATGTCAATATGAAACAAGCCGTTCAAGGAAAAGGTGATTTTTCATTGCAGTTTCATTTTTAAAGGCAGTCTGCAATGCTTTAGAGTATTTCTGGTTTTTACACTTTTTAAAACATGTTTATTTATTTTTGAAGGAGAGAGAGAGAGAGAGAGAGACAGAGACTGAGCATGAGCAGGGGAGGGGCAGAGAGAGAGGGAGACGCAGAATCGGAAGCAGGCTCCAGGCTCCGAGCCGTCAGCCCAGAGCCCGACACGGGGCTTGAACTCACGAACCGTGAGACCATGACCGGAGCTGAAGTTGGACTGAGCCACCCAGGCACCCCTGGTTTTTATACTTTGTAAAGTGAGATACCATTTTTGAGACTCTCTGGTTTTTAATTTGAACATACTAATTGTCTTCTAAAAACGGAATGACCAGGAAGAGTCTTAATTTCATTAAGTGATGTAATAGTCATGAAACATTTAAATAGTTTATAAAATAGAAAGCTTTTTTTTTTTTTTTAAGTTTCTGGGGAACAACTTTACAAGGGCTTAAAGTTGGATTCTTACTCTTTGCTTCTTTCCCCTTGGGAATTATTCTGTGACCTTCGCTGGGTCACATACCAATGGTATCTGTCCAGAAGTTTATAAGTAGTATCTTCCTTCACGTATTTGAGGACTATATTGTGCCAGTCATTAGTTTAAAATTGAGAGAATTATGAAAGGGAACGCTAATTACAAAGACTTAAAAGTGAAGTGGTTTTCTTTTTTTTTTTTTTTTAAGATAATTATTTTTCAAATAAGGTGAAAACTCTCTTGACAATCCTATTCGGGCACATAATTTCAGAGTTTCAAGAAAAGATTATTTGCATAATCATGATGCTGTAACTGGAAACAGACATGTTGAGCAATAGAACAAGTTATGCCTGCTTCTCCCTGGCAACATTTTCAAAGGGACGTTGAACTTTAAGGTATCGCCTGAAAAAGCCTGGAGGAGGTGCAAAGACTGATCTCCCAAAGCTGGCTTTTAACCTTGCTCTCTTAGTCGAGTCTGTTTTGTTTTTCCATTTCCTCTAACTTTGCAGGATCCACCAAAGTTTGCCACTAGTAGCTGAATTTGTATTTTGAACCTAGTACTATTAATAATCTTTGGTATCCATTTAGAAGTTTCCAGACATTTCCAGAAATCTTATAGAAATTAGCGGGTTAATGTTCTCCAGCTGTAATAAGGTATAATTGCCATATGTTTTTCTTATCAAAAGAGTTGATATTTAAGACCCCAGACCTCTGTAAATACATTCAGAAGTCGGGGCGCCTAGGTGGCTTGGTCGGTTAAGCGTCCGACTTCGGCTCAGGTCACGATCTCACAGTCCGTGAGTTCGAGCCCCGCGTCGGGCTCTGTGCTGACAGCTCAGAGCCTGGAGCCTGTTTCAGATTCTGTGTCTCCCTCTCTCTGCCCCTCCCCCGTTCATGCTCTGTCTCTCTCTGTCTCAAAAATAAATAAACGTTAAAAAATAAATAAATAAAAGGGGCGCCTGGGTGGGGCAGTTGGTTAAGCCTCCGACTTCAGCCAGGTCACCATCTCGCGGTCCGGGAGTTCGAGCCCCGCGTCAGGCTCTGGGCTGACGGCTCGGAGCCTGGAGCCTGTTTCCGATTCTGTGTCTCCCTCTCTCTCTGCCCCTCCCCCGTTCATGCTCTGTCTCTTTCTGTCCCAAAAATAAATAAACGTTGAAAAAAAAAAATAAAAATAAATAAATAAAATAAAAAAAATACATTCAGAAGTCAAACATCACTCTTGTTCTTTGGCTTGAAGCTTTGTTTCGTGGGGCATGGGGAAGTCCATCAGGTGTTCCTACAGAGAGTGATCTTCTTGGAAAAACGAGGCCCTGACGCATCTTAAGTCCCGTGGTTTGGAGAAAAACATCAAATTCACTTCTCAGCTTGGCGGCACAGTGTGTAACTTGCTCGGTCATAGGACAGCTGGTTTTTCCTGATTTCGTGCACATTTTCATAGACCTTCGGGGGAAATTCCACAATCAGGTGAAAAATCGGTCGCGGTTTTAAGATTCTACTCGCCAGAGAGTTGCGACTTTTATCCCAGTCCAGCTTTTTCCACTTGACTGCTTTCTTGGGTCCTTAGAAGTTTGGATGCTAAACAAATGG